GAGTTCGAGCCCTGCACGTTGCAGGTAAGTTCTACTTCAGTCTTGATTGACTAGGATTGCCTTTTTTCCTGCCTCTCTAGGCACTATGGCTTCCTCCACCAATAAAAACTGGCTGTCAGGAAATAGCCAATAGTGCTAAAAAAGTAAAATAACAAAAATACCAAAATCCAAGGGAAATTCAAAACGGAAAGTCCTTTATAAAATGGCAAAATCAAAAGCTCAAACACATCTAACGAATAGAAAACAACTGTCGTATCCATGACTTGATACAGGCATTTCCTTATGTAGAATATGGTGGATTAAACCTGGTTTTATAGCTAGCTAAAACTCACACTTGTATGACAGTATCATTGAATTCCGTTATATTTGACAACAATGTGTGAGCAAAACAAACAGACATAATAGGTAAAAATGTCAAAAATTGGGGTACAGCAGTCAACATTGTTATATAATCTTAATCACTATAAAAACAAATAACTGTTTCAACAAAGAAACACAAAATGGCATATAGACAAAATACATAAGCAAAAATGAAAGACAAGAATTCAAAATTGACCATAGCACAATAACACAATGGTGGGATGTATAAGTACCGAGCTACGTCATAAGTATATGATTAAAAATGGACGAAACAGTAAAGGTTAAAGATATACAAGGACAAAAACGGGGAATTTTAACAGGTAATAAACAACGTCAGTACCTAGAATCTATACTTCAAGACCATCATGTTTTTTTGTGAAGTTGATACGGAATATTTATCAACAAGGTCTTGGTATCTTCAATTAACTTTTCTAGAAAAAGGACGAGACATTCTTTGACATAACCTTGGCGCATCAACTTTCTGCTCAGACACTGGTGACGTTTTATAAAGTCTGAGTAGCAGCTGCAAGCTCTTGAATACCGAATGAGTTGGGAAATGTATTTCCCATATGCAGGTGAAGTTGATATATTGCTGCTAAGGTGGGGAAAATTTATAATTTCAAAATTAAAATCGTCTCGCTTGTCATAGATTCTGGTATTGATATGACTGCTTATGTCAAATTCGAGGTATAAGTATAAAAATGAGGCGGAGGAAGCCGTGTCTGTTGTTTCTTTAATTTCTAGTTCTGGAGGATATATTAATGGAACCCAATCAGAAAACTTTGGATTGTTAATGGAAAGAACATCATCAATATATTTGAATGTGAAATTAAATGATCGGGCTTCTTTGGTTTTCTTGTTTTTGACAAGTGTCTGAAGGAACACCGACTCATATGAAAACAAGAAGAGGTCGGCAAGGAGAGGCGCACAGTTCGTTCCCATAGGCATGCCGACAACCTGCTGAAAAAGTCTACCTCCAAATTAACAAATATGTTGTCAATGAGAAACCCCAGCATACTGATCACTTGTTCCGCTGTGTAGCATGTTTTACTTTAAATTTTTGTTCACTATTAACAAAATATGACGTATGGTAAAAACACAAAAAATCAAATCATATCATATTTTTCAGACTGTTTGAATACTGAGAAATTCAAGTTTTAACTACATGAGGAACACATTTATTAATTTGTTCATTTTACCTTAATGATAATTATTTATAACATTTCATAGACAACTCTCTTTTTATTATACTCATGAAAATACTAGTTTTATATCAAAAGCCATGCAACTGACTACCAATAGTTTTAACCTGTAGTAATCTACACTAGTACCCAGTTATTAAATGTCAAGTTTGCATATTGTTAAACCACTTTTCCAACAAAAGCAAATCTATTTTCAGTAACATTTACCTTGACCTTCGACCCCAAAATCAATAGGCCTTTTCCCTTTCCCTTTATCCTATATTTATATAAGTTTCAATCACACCAAGCAAGGAATACTCAATCTAACATCTGGAAACTATTTTTCAAAATGTTTTATATATTTAGTAATAGTGACCTTGACCCTGATCTATTGAACCAAAAATCAAAAGATTTTCCCCTTCTGAGTTTAAACTTACGTTAGTCAGCTGCATTTGATATAACACAGATCAAAAAATATATTCATACAACAGTACAATCTTTACTACAATACAACCTTTAATGTACACATATTAGAATTCAACCTAAAATTCGAACTATAGATATAATAAATTTGAACATTTGACAACTTTGCTGATACTGTTACAGCAAAATGCCTCATTTACCTGAAAATTGGATTTCACAACTCAAAATGATAAAAAAAAATACCTATTTACATCTCATTTACATAAGAACTTATATATGTTTACATAGAAAGCCGTTATTTGAGGTTAATTAACAGAAGCATCAAACGTTTGGCAAGGTTTAGCTAGTTTTATTATTACTAAAGGGAAGGCTTCCCTTACTTCCCATTAAGAGTTATATAAAAAGGTACAAGAATAACAGCGCTTTACTGAATAATGCCTGTATAACAGCTGACAAAAACACACCAGATAGATATAGATACACACACATATAGGATATATATTAAAGCAAACTCAAAAACATATTTGAATAAATCTAACATAAACAGCAGTAGTTGTCCTTTTCTAGATTTAGACATTTCAATTTCTAAAGGGAAACTCCATACAAAAATTTACGACAAAAGAGACGATTTTTCATTCCCTATTGTTAATTTTCCTTTTTTTAGACGGCGATGTTACTTTGGCTCCATCATACGGTGTTTCTATATCCCAACTCGTTCGTTATGCCCGTGTGTGTAGTGATGTCATATATTTTAACGAACGTTATCAATGTATTACTGGTAAATTATTAAGTCAGGGATTTCGTTACCATAACTTACTTAATACATTTACTAAATTATTTCATAGATACAAAGATTTTATTAGTAAATTTGGCTGAACCTGTAGAAAACTTATTAAAAATTTTTTTTTTAACATCCTAAATTTTACGGTAATATTGTACTAAAAGCGCGGAAATCCTTATGTGATCCGTGTAAACTTATCGAACCTTTAAACAAACTTATTAGTAAAGGTTATCTTATAAATGGTCATTATTTACTATGTTCAAAACATGTGATAAATAATCATAAGTAAGATTAACCAAAAACAAGTTAGCACAGGAATTTTCATAAAGAATTCAAAGAGAGAAATGGCATAACTAATCAAGGTCAAATTTGTAGAGGTAAATCCTTATCATGTCCCTTAAACCGTTGAAATATAAAAAAAATATGCAAAATTCATTGACATATGTTGAAAACTCTTGCCAAGAATAAGTCGATGAAAAAACAATGCTTTCCAATAAGAAATCTAAAAAAAGAACACTATATACAATATGAAATTGTCACTCTATGCCTCTCTGTGATTAAAGAATTTGTTGGCTTCATTTGGCTCTTTTTGTTTTAATATCCTTTTTTGTTAATACTTTCATATTATCTTAATATCCAGCACCCTGTCCAATGCTATATACAGAAAATACTAAGATAATCAGATGGACCATTGATAAAAATTTCTAGATATTATGGGCACTGTACTTTTTGGTCTCTGCACCATCTCTCCTTTCATTTTCATTGATAAAATTGAATGAAAATGTTCTCATAGATGTATACATTGTAAAATTTGAAAGAGGTTGAAATTCAATATAACGGATTATATTGTTTATAGCAAAATTTTGGACGAATTTATGCTAAAAAGTCATCAAATCGTGAAAAACATGATATCTGATATTATTTTTTAAGGCGATCAAAGGGCGGCGTCCGCTTTCTACTCCTCCATCCTGGATCCGCCACTTCATAGGATAAAAACTTTTAAACTAGCTTTATCAATGAACAAAGAAACAACTCCAGATTCATCAAAGCACGAGTTAAGTGTTAAACTTCTTGATTAGATGCTTGTGTAATGGCATTCTAATTATCAATGGTCAATAAGTGTATCAATAGCAAAAAACTAAGAAATCCACTCTCGTAAGCATGATTAAGAAGGTTGAAACCTAGATGATAGGGAAAGTACATACCAGATCTGTAAAACTTCCAAGGTAACGGAAGAACATAAAAAAGTGCATGAACCTCATATTTTGCTTGAAACTAAAAAGCAAGGATGTAACCTGTTTATGTATCAATGTAACTGGATACTAAATATTAATGGCCTATTGTTAACAAACACAACTGATAAAACCACCACTTATACCATGTTTGAACCTGTGTCGCTCTATGACAATGACAATGCAATTGATTGAGGTACCATGTATACAAAAGCATAACTGATAATTCCCTAAAATCATTAAAAACAAGAAAAGTTTGACAAAAATGTTGAGTGTTGTAAAATTTCAAATTATCAGCAAACAGGAATTTGCTGCACATCAGATGTAAAAATTGCTTACATGCTACATCTCAACACAACATTATCAAGCTGAATATCAAATATAAAATCATTCTCTCTCATGGTAGTAAAGAAAACTTTAGCGAAAGTGTTTACCAAAGATCTTTTTGACAGACGGATGGACAGAGTGGATTAGTGCACTAGACCTGCTTACACATTCGCAACATTGGTAAAAAAACGATTTGAACAATACACAAATTTTAAAGTCAATACAGCATACTGGGGGACTACATTTTGATTACAAAATGCTAATGCTACTAAATACTAAACTACATTAACTTTTCTTAAGTATTCATCTTCAAATGAACTTAATCAGAAAACTTAACCTGAGGTGATAACACAAATCTACAAAAGTAACACATATGTTTGACTTGCAATATTTGTCAACTTGAAAAAAACTCATGCAATATTTTGCATAAAAATGTTCTTAGCATATTATATCCCTTCAAAATCTTTCATAGCACAAAAGATTGAATAAAAAATTCACAATGAAGAGTATTATGTATTGAACAGTAATAAATTATGATAATCAGTATATCACATAACGAATAACTTAAATATTCAACTGGAAATAGAATATCTAACTGGTGAAACATGTTTTCATCCGACCCTAATTAAAATCATTATCAAACTTAACATGAATCATGAAGGCTGATTTCAAATGAAAAACAAAACCAAAGAGCATTCACCAGTCAAATGTCTGTCCAATTTGATTAAAGAAGATTTTGTTGTACGGCTCAAAATATTCTGTTAGTTTGACCACAACCTCTTCATGAACCTCGGGATGTTTCCGACCTTTTGTTCGATCAACACATTTATGTCCAGTTGTTTCATTCTTGATACAGAAAAATTCCTTTGTTCGATCAAAAACAAATGAGTTTTGCTTATTTCATGCTCCTGACCTGAAAGATTCTACCTTCTGACATACCTCAAATGGTTTCTCAGTCAGATTCTTGCCATCCACACACATTATCTGTTTATCATTCACATCTCCATTATCTTTCAAAACTTTCTCCTCAAAACTGGATGTGTCCAGATTCGTTCTTGACCTTTTGTCCATCAATTGAAGGTGGTCTGACATTGCTCTCTTTATTGGATCAGGTACAAGTAATATGAGTTTGATAGTACTATTCATACGAAATATTCTCTCTGGAGATTTGTCACTGTGAAAATAACCAAGAGTTTTTTCTATTGTGGTTTGATCTACAAAACTTAAAGGCATATTTTTTGTTACCAGCTTATTCCCTGAAAGAAATCCCTATCAAAGTAGTGAACCTCCTTTGAAGAAACCTGAATGTTTGGATGCAAAGCAAGAAATTGAAGTGGACAACGAGTTCCTCCTTTCCGCATGCCAAAGATGATGTAGTGAGGTAGACGATGTGTGGGCTTGTTGTAATCATTGTCCGCGAGCATACCTTTGAAACTCACTACAGGTTTATCTGATGGACTAAATACAGTGTATAGACCAATAATGACAACCAGGACTATTACTGATATTAGTGGGCAAGAATAACTTTTCGTTGACCTAATCCACAACAACATGCCTGAGTATCTCTTGAGCACTGATGTAGAGGGTGACACTTAGCAGTCATTCTATCACCCTAAATACAAATAAATTAAAATAATATACAATTCACATTTTTATGCATATCTAAACATATCTAAATATCTAATTAGTCGGCTGCCAACATTGACCCATCAGCCTCTCCTTCAACTTCGTTTTTAAAATATTGTGGCAAAATCGAAGACAAGTATATTCCCCTGAAGGCCACACTGTGACTTGGGGTGTAAAAGAGTAATAAATGTGTTATTCCTTAGCTTTTGGTTTTGTCAAATTTGTGCATGGATTCTATTCATTAATTAATACAACGTATCCTGTCTTTTCTATTAAATTGCAAAAACTGATTCCTAATAATGAAGTTTCTATCTAAGGCTGATTATGATCCCTAATTGGCTTCCTCTCTCTTCAAATCGCCAGAATCGGAGCGGGTGGTACCTGTTCAAAGAAGCATGTGAAGAGTTCAAACTTGTTAAAAACACATTTATCCTTCAACTAGTCACAAGTTATATCATATCAAACTTGAACAACACTGCATTTAATTGATGTAAATAAAGCAGATATACTGTTTGGCGAATAGTTTTTTTTACTATACTTGGAATAAATACTTTTTTGCTTTCCAATACTTCGGGGGTGATGCTACGCAGTGTTTAAGTATCAATTAAAGTCTGAAAGACTGGGTGTTTCTGAGCAAGGAACCTCTGAGTTTTTATAAAATGATACGATTTAATTATATGAATAAGAATTGTCTATTATGGCACTATATTTTGGAAAAGCAACTGATATAAGCATGTGATTACTGCAGTAAGTTGAAACAGATTGTATACAGTTTCGTAAATAAAAAATTGGCAAAGTGTTCTACTGAATTATGTGTCTCCCCCGCGATGAGTTGCTATGACAATGTTGGATCTGCCAAAATTTCTTAGTTTTAAGGGTTCATAACTAAAAAAAAAAACCATTGAACCAGAACATTCTACTTACATGCACATCGACATATTAGGATATAAAAACGTACAAAGTTACATGTATATGCGATAAAACATGTGGGAGGATAACAAGGTTTGTTCTCAAAAAAGATAAAGAGGTTAATCAAGACAGACAGATGTTTGCATGGGATATAATCAGTGTTTCTACTGACAACAAAATTCATAAACCGACAAAAATGCAAAGAAACAAGGACAACTAACAAAAATCCTGACTTGGGAAAATCGTTCAAATGTGGTGAACAAAAATTAAACAAAAAATTTTCATTATGTCTGGTGTTAGACGTTGTGCTATAAATGACTATGAAACCTCTAGAATAGGTTCCCAACAAATACCAGTATTCCAGGAATACCAGTTATTTTCATTAATAAGATATCTGTATTCTACTGAATTATAAATAAAGGCAACAGTAGTATACCGCTGTTCGAAACTCATAAATCGATAGAGATAAAAACAAATCCGGGTTACAAACTAAAACTGAGGGAAACGCATCAAATATAACAACGACACAAAAAAAAACACAACATTAAAATGTAACACACACAGAAACGAACTATAATATAACAATGGCCATTTTCCTGACTTGGTACAGGACATTTTAAGAAAAAAATGGTGGGTTGAACCTGGTTTTGTGGCATGCCAAACCTCCCGCTTTAATGGCAACGTCCAACATAACACCAAAACGACAACATCACATGACAGGACCACAATACAAATAAATGGGAGAACATATAGGACAAAGAAACACACGAATAATAGCTAGCAGAAGGTACTAGGCTTAAAATTCAATACGCCAGACGTGCGTCTCGTCCACACAAGACTAACCAGTGACGCTCAGATAAAAAAAGTTGTTTGAAAGCCAAAACAAGTACAAAGCTGAAAAGCACCGAGGACCAAAACTTCCAAAAAGTTGCGCCTAACACGGCCAGTATTTTCTGCCTGGGACAAGAACATCCTTATTATTTAGAATAATTTATAATTTTGCAAACAGTAAATATTATAAAATGACTATATAATAGATATACATGATAAAACCAAAGTGGGGACTAACTACAGAATAAAAACGGATACATTACATAAAACAACTTAATCCAACATATAAAAATACACAGCCGAGTTAGCTAAAGCCTCAACGCACAAAGTGACGTCACATTTGAAATTCTAAAAAAAACACACAAAGAGACGTCACATATGAATTTGTAAAAATATTTCCCAAAAATAAGAGGATTAGGATTGATTCAAGATAGATTTGTAATACTGCCATTACATTTATTAATAACATGAAAATTACAATAATTATTAATATCAAATTGTGGTAGTAATTAGATAATTAATTGTATTATCTAGCTATGTCGGTGTTTCTTCTGAATCAAACTGTAAACCAAATATATCGTATAAATTTCGTTGAACCAAACTAAAATCTAATAAATGAAGAGGGTGATTAATTATCTATACCACAACACACGAATATAACAGAAAATACGTTAAGACATTTGACAAAATCCGACGAGAACAACAAATATAACATCAAAATTAAATACATGAATTTGGGATAGAAAGGTACCGTGACACGTCTTATACCAATGCGGTTTCACACTCAGCAAAACAGTCACAATCGGGTAAAAGTCACGTTCGGTAATTAAAAGATCAGACGACGTAATGACAAACCACAATCTAACACGTGGTAAAAATGTCCTTAGTTAGTTTTGACAAAGACACATCGTATGGATCAACCAATTGGTGATGGTGTCCGTAAAATTTACGGAGTGTCATTTTTAATCTGTCCTCCTCATAACTTTGTTGGAGCAGTTTCTGCGTAAGGAGCATGTTCAAATCCTTATTTTTATATAGTTAACACATTGCAGTATAATATTTTAAATTTGATATGACAATCAAAATATGCACACATGTGTAAAATTGCTGAAAAATATGATAAAAAACTTATGATACCATCCATGCATAAAATTGCATGACATTACATTTGAATATGCATAATATTGTATGACATAAAGTAAATATGCATAAAACTGAATAAATTAAATATATCATATAATAATTAATGTACAAAACTGTAATCAACAGATAAGTTGTATTACTCATCTTGAAATATAAAAATCTTGGGTTAATAGTAAATTAAAGCTTGAGTATTTAAGAAAGAAAAACAAAAAACAAACTTTCAATTAGGTTAAAACAACTTAACTGCAACCATAGCAGTTAACATATTTGATCAATTTGCAGAAGGTTAAACTATTGTCAATTCTACAAAATGTCTTGCCTGCACCATCATTTAAGTAATTTAAAAGGGAATTGCACATAAACCTTAGGACAAGGTGCAATTTAACCTGTCTGAGTGTAAAGTCCAAGTATATATGTAAATGAGGCCAAAGACTAGCAATCAATCAACATACGAAATATCATTGATCCATCATGTATAAATACAAGGGAATAGACTAATTATAAAAACAGACCACCGGAACATGTACCCAGTAATGAAATGTCATTGAGACATATAATCCTCAAAAACAAGCTATATACCAATATTGTTGACTTACTTACTGAGGAATGTACCTCATCCTGAAAACTTAGCTGGTCCATTGGTGAGCAAAAGTCAAGGCAACAAGACGTTGGCTGAGAGACATCATGTTTATGTCGCACAACCTTCCAACATATAAAATAGTGTATAGTTGCTACAGAATGGACCTCTTTTTGACACTACACCTGAACATGGGAGCATGAAAATGAGATGAACTTACAATAGACGGAAATATACGCATCAAAATCATTGTTGACCTATGAGGTATAGTTACTTGTGAACAAATGTTTAATCCTGAAAACTTAATTAAACAGCTAGAATAAGAATTGAGGTCATTGAAAGGTAAAAATGACTTGGTGACAAGGTCTCATCATGACCAATCACCTTAAAAGCAATAGAGGGTGAATGAAAGTTTAATGCCGAAATAAAATAGAACAGTCTCACATGTTGCAGCCTCCCTGACAAATATTTACAAATACGCTTTATCATAAAGATATAAAAAGATTAGTAACAGAAATCACAAGGTACAGGATTTCTTCTGTTCTATGAGTATTATTATTTGTTGAGCAGTATACTGTTACATGATTAGAGTAACATCTTTCTAATGTATCAACCAAGAAATAAATAAACTTGACAACATATGCTTAATCAGAACCAGAATCGTCTATTACATACGAATCAAATATGCTTAACATTCTTACAACTAGGTATATAATTCTTTAATAAAATGTATTTGTCTGCATTATTCAATTCTTAAATCACAAACTTTATAATTAAAACATTATTTTGAAATGTCATACTTATTAACAAAAATTAGGTTCACAAAATGGAAACCATTTACATTCACCACCATACCTATAAATCAGACTAAACTAGAATGCATGTGTTCTTGTGCTTAGCATTCCCCCACCCGAAAACAGGAAGCAGGTGTCTGATAGATTAAAAAGGGCTCAAACTTTACAACTCATCACAGTCAAGCTGCTGACCAAATTTGGAGGTATTTTGTTGTTGAAAATTTAAAGTATTGTCAAGTAGATTAAAAAAAAAACGCTCACACGTTACCACTCATCAATGTCATGCTGCTGACCATATATGCAGTCGTTCTGTTAAATAAAGGCAACAGTAGTATACCGCTGTTCGAAATTCATAAATCGATTGAGAAAAAAACAAATCCGGGTTACAAACTAAAACTGAGGGAAACACATTAAATATAAGAGGAGAACTACGACACAACAGAAACACAACATTAAAATGTAACACACACAGAAACGAACT